CAATCCGTGGTAAAGCATGAATAAGTCACTTCCGTGATGCAAATATGGTACTCCATCCACTGGAGGTAATTCTCTGCACCAATTTTTAAACTACTTTTATCAACTGCACATCTTGGTGCTCAGCAGCTGAAGGTATTACCAAAGAAGGAATCAATGGAAAAGAAAAGTCTTTAATCGGTGGAAATAGACCTCCCCTACTTTTTCATGATGAAGCTCGTCTGTGACACCCATTTTGGATAAATTTGGCGCTGATTCTCGTTTGACACCACAAGTTATTAAACCTTTATTCCAAAAGGCGAATGTATCTACAGCTAGGTAGAGTAGCATGTACTGTGCTGTATGCTCTTCTGCTGGCATAGCGTAGAATGCTGTAAAAGTTGAAAGACCGCCCTGCATGAAGTCCCATAGAACGGTTTCGTTTAACACTGCCGTAGATGTTATTCTGAAAATTTTCCACCGTTCTTTTGTTAACGTGGGAAAGTCCACCAGATTTTAATAACGCTTACTTTGACGACTTTAAGAAATACGACATTTCGAATAACCGATGTCAATCTTATTCAGGTAATGAACAATCAGACACCCCGTGACGGGTCTTCGCTTCCCGATTCATAACTAAAGGCGATAACTGAAAAGGACGTTGCAAAGTCATGTGACGACGCTTTTCGATGCCGCACATCATCTACAATATCAAGGTAATACTGATACAGTATTAGTGTATTACCGTAGTGTGCGGCGTTAGTAAAAAAAAGATTTTACACCGACCTTTATAACTGTTGCCTTGAACCACGAATCAGTAAGCGAACATCATACTAGCCATAACTGTTAACCATCAGACAAACACTGAATCAAAACTTTTCTTTCATATCTGCTTATACAAATAAACATGGTACACTTTGCCCAATCAACAACGTTTAAATTTAACCCGCTTATGTATACTTGCCGTTGTTTTGTTCCATGGGTCGACAGTGAGGTCACTCCGCTGGTAGTAGCTGGAAGCTCCTGCGACGTAACCCGCTACCCCCATAACGGCTTTTGGTCGACGGTTCGGCATTATGTCGTAGTCATGCAAAACCACGCAAGTGTCGGCGTCGTATTGGCTCTGTTAACACAGACAGCATATGAAGAAAGCAGTTGCACCGGTCTCATCGCCGTTTACTCGTCGCTTGCCATCTTACCGAAATGACGAATTTCTGGAA